TTTATTGTATTGGTCTTGGGTCCAATTTCAAAGGCTTGATTCGATTTTTTGCTCTTGATAATCCGAGAGGAACACTTACTGTTCAAATAAATAAATAATAATAATAATAATAATATAAAAACAAAAAAAAAAAAAGCTCCATTGAATTATTTCTATTAATTTATCGTAAGAAATAAATTAATATTAATTTTTTAATTTTTAGATGTTGATATTTGAAGAATATAATTTTCCAAGATAATAATTCAATTGTTAAAAGCATCGGTTGGCACCCATAATTTAATATTTTGATCCCGCAGCAAAGTCAAATTTGAATTTACTTTTTTTTTTATTTTTAAGAATAATCTAGCTTCAAATTTTATTATATGAAATTAAGAATTTTAATATAGTATTAAAAATAATTAAAATTTATACGTAGCTGGTATTATTCCTTCTAACTTAATTCTACGTTGACTTTAATTAGTTTATAAATATATATATATATATATATATATATTTATCACCGTCATATATTAATGCGGCAAAACAATAACGTTGACATTGGTAAAACACGTTGACAAAATTCCAATCCCACCGCCACCACCACACAATTAATAGAAAAACAAAATGTCCAAACAGGGTCTTCAATAATCAATGTTTAAACCTATCCACACAACCACCTTCATGAACTGCTTTCAATCTTCCTTTTTCTTAACGTAATAAATTCATAATTTGTATTTGTATTATATTAAATATTTATATGTATATACATATATAAATCTAGTATATGAAAAGTTATGAACTGTATTAATTTTATTTTTTGAAATTTTTGAACTCATATATGTTCGTAGCATAGGGAATGATACTGATCTCACGGATTCCTACATGCACTCTGTAAAAGAAGTACGTACATCTACCCATATATATTGGATGAAAGAAACAGTGGATAATTTGCAAGTACATAGATTTTAAATGATACATTATGGAAGGGTATATCACATCGGCCTAGCTATATATATATATATATATATATATATATATATAGATGTATATGTATGTGTATATGTTACATACCTATATAATTTCTATAATTTTTGCCTTGTCTAGAGGGTAGGTGATGCAGCAACCAGCATCTCGTACTAGGTACCACACATCATCAATGTTTTGATGGGGATATAGATTCTTATTACCTATATGTATATGTATACGTAAATGGTCGACACCAAAATGACTGCATTTCTGAGTTGTAAATGATAAAATTACTGAATTAAACTTTATAAATTGATCAACCATCAACTTATAATAAAACTATAAAATGTAATCCTCAAATGAAATTTCTGTCATAATGTTTGAGAGATTTAGTATGTACAAACTACAATCTTTATTTTTTTTTACGAGGTTGTGGCTAAATTATTTAATTTGTAAATGTTTTAATAAAATATATTTTCAAACTTAATACGATTATTTTAAATTATTTAAATATTATTAAAATAAGAAAATAAGTAATTCAATGAGTATTTATTTATTTTTTTTGAAAAATAAGACTAATTTTTGTATTAATTTATTGTAATTATTATAATTAAAATAATTTAGTTATCATATAATATTTTATTTGTCATATGTAATAGTTCATTAGAATAAAATTCAATTTGATCATCGCAATTTTACTAACACAATAATAAATTAAAATTTTAAATTTATTAAATTAAATATTACGAGTCGTGCAATTATTATTTTATAATAGATTGACAAAATGATAAATTTTATATTTTTAATAAAATTTAAATTCGTAACTTTCAAATAAAACATTAAAATTTTAATTAATATTTATTTTTGAGGAAACAAATAACTTTTTATTTTTTTTTATAATCTTTTTGATCGTTCCAAAATCTATAACGATTTTCACTAAAATACAAAAAAAATATATATATATATATTAACAATTATTCCCATAAAACACATTACAAATTTTCAACTAGAAGTGTTTTTATTCAAAAAATTATTTTAATAACACTTTTTTTTTTTTTTTATCATTCACATTATAACTAGAAGTTATTACAAAATGAAAAAAAGAACTTGGTTAAAATGTACGGAAATGGTAATGGTTACAAAAAGGAATCCACTATCAAGGAAGCTTCACTTAATTTGAATATTATTATAGAGAAAAATACAATAAAATTATAATTAAAAAAATTCAAAATTTGTGTAATTGAACACCAATAATAATAAACTTTTTAGAAATTATATACCAAAAATAGTTATATATACAGTACGTATGTAGCTGAAAAAAATTTAAAATTATTGGTATTGTACTACTTTAATTTATCACATATGGTTGCGTAGGTGAAATCTTTATTGCATGTCAAGTGACTTTTTCGCATATCCTGAACCAGAAATCCCATTCTAATATTTTCTCATCTGACAAACAGAAAAAGAACTAAGTGTCATGTCTCTCTCCCTCATCTGCTTTATATTATTAAGTATTTATGATCTCTGCAACCTGCAGCCTGCGAAGTTGTTGTTCTATCTCTCCCCTAATTTAAAGAACATGCCACAAAAAAAGAAGTTCAGAGGCGTCCGGCAGCGTCAGTGGGGCTCTTGGGTTTCTGAAATTCGCCACCCTTTACTGTATTCCTCACCAACCTCCCATTAATATATACGCATATATCTCCATATATACTGATATCTCCTTCAATGATGGCTGCCCTTTTTCTTTCTTTCTTCTCCGGATCATGACTTTTATACAATTCCACGTTAGCTATAAGACTCTGTTCTAGATCTGCAGTACTCATTTATGGCTCGTCTCGACATTGTTATAAGTCTCTTTTCTTTCTGCATTCATGCATGTGTTAGCATACATTATGATCGTCTTGTGTATATATACATTTCTCAGCATGATTTACTTTATACGAACTCTTAACTAGATTTTTCTTTTCTTGTTCTTTTGCTTTTCTTCTTTGGTTTCTGGAAAATATGTGATGCGTATACGTTTGCTTTCTGTATGATTTAATTATATAAAGTCTTAACTGTGTTTTTTCTGTGTTTCTTGTTTGGTTTCCTGGAAAATATCTAAATTTGTAAAGAAAGAAAAGGGTATGGCTAGGGACATTTGAGACGGCAGAAGCAGCAGCAAAGGCATATGACCAAGCAGCCATATTAATGAGTGGTCAAAATGCCAAAACCAATTTCCCTGTAACCAAAAATTCCGGCGTCGCCATCAAGGCAAAAGCTCGGAACAATGAAGCCGACAATGAGAACCAGTCGCCATTATCGGAGAAAGCTCTGTCGGAGTTACTAAACGAGAAGCTGAAGAAAACTTGCAAGGACGGCCGATCTCCGTCACTCACTTGTCTGAGACTCGACACAGATAGTTCCCACATCGGCGTGTGGCAGAAACGCGCAGGGTCTCCTTCGAATTCCAACTGGGTGATGAGAGTGGAGCTGGGAAACAAGAAAAAGAAGCAGTTACAGACGGGGAGGAAGGATGATCAGGAGGAGGAGGAGCTTGATGGAGGTTCGTTAATGGCGATGGAAACGACGTCGTCACACGGTGATGGAATTGAAGATGATAGACTTGCACTGCAGATGATAGAGGAACTGCTAAACTGGAACTGTCCGATCACAACAGCTTCAACTTCAGCTAATAATATTGCTGGGATTTAGAAAAATAGCCAAAAAATATATATATATATAATTTTAAAAGAAAATAAACTCATTGCTTTCCTAAATATTCCGTATATGTATACTTGGCTTTCAAAAAATACGTATACGTACTTATATAATATTATATACGCATACGTGTGCGGTTCAGTCTCCGATATGGTTGCTTTTGTGGAAATTGTAGAAAAAGAGATGAAGCAGAAACTGAAAGCACCACCGGAGTTGGACCCATATATATATATATATGGCGAAAAGTCAAAATTAGTCAAAGCAAGAAATGTATATTGATATGTATATATATATGTATATAATATATGTATACTTTTGCCTGATATGTGTTAGAGACAAAAGCCTGCAGTTTAAAACAGAGAAAGAATAGTACGGCAATTTAAATCTAAATGTGTGAGTCCAGAGTGAGAAAAAAGAGAGCAAAAAGAATGTAGAGAAAAAAAAAATATACAGAAGAGAATACAGGAGAGTGAGAGAGAGTTTCTGAAAAATACGAAGTCTATGTATATATATATATATATATATACACACACACACAGCAAATATAAGTTGTACGTAAGTAAAGAAGTGAAATAAAAACATATAATTTTGTTAACCAAAACAAGCACCATTTCTTTTAAACTAAAAAAATAATCATAATTTTCTGACATCAGCGCTAACTGTTGAAGAAAAACTCAGACGCTGCTAACTAAAAAATAAAAATATATGATTTATTTTACCATCATTTCATTTTGTTATTTTTTTATTAGATGTAATTGAATTTTGTATGTATTCAATCTGAAAATTTTTGTTTGATACTAAATATTTAAATTAAAACTTTATGAAAATAAAAATTATTAGATATTTCATTAGCACAAGCTTTCGTTCATTATATATGTATGTGTATGTGTATGTGTTATTGTTTATATTAGAGATTTAAGTTTTGATTTTTACTTAATATATTAAAATTGAATAATTAATTGTTACCAGCCTATAACATGTTATTGATTGATTAATAATAATTAATAAAATAAATTATTTTTAAAAAAAATCCTACAAAATCGATAAAAAAATAAACTAGTATTTGACCTAAATAATTAATATTTTTTATAATAAAGTAAATGTCTGAGTTAGATTGTATTTTTACATTTTTTTATTTATTTAAATGTCACTAATCATGAAATTGGTGTAGTAAATAAAAGGAGAAGAAAAAGGGAGACACGTGGGTTACGAAGAAAAACTTAAAGAGGCAATTGTGTAATTATGAGAAGAAAAAGCAAAATGTTAGACGGGTAGGGCAGGCGAAAGTGGTTGGTGGCTATAAATGTAATTTACTTAAAAAGCATGGCCCCCACCTCCTGCTCTTCTTTTATTTTGCCTTTGGACTTGGAACTCTCCACCTTTCTCTCAACTTCACAATTCAACTCCTTATTTCCCATCATTTTTCAAATTAATTATAATTTTTTTTTTAAATTATTTTTAGAAATGTACATATTATAAGATTCAAATTCAAACTAAGATATTGTTATTTTTTTTTAATTTGAGTGTTATGTTCAATCATAATATTAAAGATGAAAAAACTTATGGTATTAAAAAGAAAGTAAATCATGATATCAAAAATTAAGAAAATTATAATACTAAGAAATAAGTAAATTATAACGTTGGAGACAAAATAAATTAGGGTATTAGAGATTAAATAATTCAAGTTAATAAAATTTGAATATAAATAAATTTAAAACACTTATATTAAATAATCAAAATCCAGTTTGAATCGAAAATATACCTGAATTTATGATGATATAAAACAATACGTTATGTGGTTGGTATTCTAAATTAGTTTGTAGTTCATTTGAGTTTTCTCACTCTTTCTATTTATAATGATGAGATAATATAATTGAAAAAAAAAAAATTCTTCTGTAAAATTTGAGAACTATAACCGTATATTTATACGCTTACTTTTTATTATTCATAATTTAATAAATTATAAAATTAAAAATATTATTTTAATCTCTACACATAAGTTCACAATTTAATTTAATACATTAAATATCAAAATACACTAAACCTAATCACATCACTTTAAATTAACTTAAGTAATTTGTTAAACCAAACAGTTAAAAAATAAATTTATATTATTTGTAATCAATTAATTATTTTTTAATCATAAAATAATTTATATATATATAACACGTATAAATTAAAAAATTATTCTAAACATTTAACTATAATGAAATTTATTTTTTTTTTTAAATTTTAAAAAAGCTCCCATAAAATTTAGACCATAAATCAGACCATGACATTTTAACTAACGTATAAAGGTCTCATATATTTTATTTTGGGGAAAAATATCTCACATATAATTAATGTTTCTAATCCTATATGCTTTATATTATGCTTTTGTACTATAGTGACTAAATTTTCGTACCAATAATTCTCTATAATTACATCTGATTTTACAAATTATTGGATTATTTTCCAGTGATTTACATTACATGTGTCTTGTTTGGTACACACAAAATTATTATTATTTTATTGATTGATTGATAGTTTTGTGTAACCTATGAGAACTTGTCTCGATTTTGTCTTGTCAAAATTAGCAATTTTTTTAAATAATATTATTTGAAAAATAAATTACAAAAAATACCGACGTAACAATAACATACTACATAATTAAAAAAATTAAAATTAAAATTTATCAAAAATAACAAAAGTTTAATATGGAATATTCTGTTCGGTAATTCCCTTCTCAAGAATATTCCAATCATATCCAACCCCCAATGCGCACTTCCCAACAGTAATTCTCTCTCTGTTTTATCTTTTTGTTGGTTACTGAAGACGCGCGCAGTTCATCAAAACGGCGGCAAATCCTCCGGGAAGGGTGGTTCTTTATATGCCGGCTAGTCTGATCCGGTGAGTGTTGGAGCATGAAGTTCTGGAAGAGCCTCAGCGGACTGATCGAGGAGACGTTGCCTGATTGGAGGGACAAGTTCTTATCGTACAAGGATTTAAAGAAGCAGCTGAAGCTGATCTGCCCCAAGCCGGCTAACAAAAGGCCCAGATTGGAGAACTCGGATCTAGCAGACGGCGGGGATTGCGGATGCAGGGAGAAAACTGAGGTGGCTAAGGAGGTGATCGATTTCGTTCGTTTGTTGGAACAGGAGGTGGAGAAGTTCAATGCGTTCTTCGTTGAAAAGGAAGAGGAGTATGTCATTAAATGGAAGGTATTCCAATTTTTTTTTCTTAGATTTATTTGTATGATGTGAAATAAATTTTCATATGTTCGTGTTGGGAGTTTCTCATTTTTTGGAATTTTTTCATACGGATTAACTCCTAATTATGAGAAACGCAATCTTGTCTATTTCTTCTATTACTAATTTTAGAATTTACCCAAGAAACTGTGAATATGTTATACTATGACATAATGTTAAAGAAATGTGAAATGGACGGAATTGAGTTTCTCCGTAGTAGCAAAGTCAGTGCCTGGTTATGGAAATTATATGCAGAGTTTTTGTTGGGTTACAAAAATTTCACACGTTCTGTGTTCTAAGTGGCATTTGACCTTATGATCTGGTTGGTCAAAGGAAGTTGATGCTATTGAATTGTGTAATATAGAGTTAGAAATGGTATTACCCTCTGTTTGCTGGAGTTTTCTTGTATCATCTATAAGCCAAGATTGTATGTAAACAAGAAATGGTGCTGAATTGTGTCTCATGTTGGCTTTTAAGGCCTGAAATTTTAGTATGAAACATCAAAGTTCTGTAAATTGTTTCAAAATTTTAGCCTCTAATAGTTTCAAAGTTTAATGATTGTATGTACTTGAACATAAACACAAACAAACATATATATACATGCTTTCACATGTATAAATTTCTTGGAAAGGCTTGATGAAATTAAAAGCATTTAGTGCTTTGTTGAGAAAACACCCAACAAGATCAGACATTAAAAACTGTTGATCGAAAGCGAATAAGCTTGAAAGGTGGCTCTGTGAATGAGAAAACTTAGAGAGAGAAAGTTGAGGAGAGAGAGGGCAGCAAAACAGAGCAAGCTGATGCAACTGCCTCTGTTTTGCTGTTTTGAAGAGGCGTGCACTTTCTTTGGAGAGAAGTAAAATCTTCTTTTTATTTCAGCACATATATATAAATACAAATTTAAACAGATTACATCAACCAACCGATCAAATCAGATCGACCGAAAATCATGCATACACATCGCATGAAATTTTACGTATCCTTCTGTGAAACAAGTTCACGGTGGATTTCCTTTTTTTTGAATTTAAACTCAACAGAAAAAATCATTAAATTTAACATTCCCTCTTAATGACTTTTTTCACCAATCCCCACATTTTCCCGCAATTCCTCAAATTTAGCTTTAGACAGGGCCTTAGTTAGAATGTCTGCAAGCTGATCATTAGTGGAGCAATGTATCAGCTTTATTTCTTGATTCCTCTCAGCCTCACGTATAGCATGATACTTAACGTTGATGTGTTTAGTTCTCCCGTGCATTACAGGATTTTTCGCAATGGCAATTGAAGACTTGTTGTCTACATACAACACTGTAGGTGTTTGTTTGTCCAGCTTTACATCATTGAACACCTTCCTCAACCAAATTGCTTGG